GCAAATGATTGACAAATTGAACTTTCTACTTCAAATGCTCGCCGATCATACAAAAATTAATGTTTCAAAAATCCCCTACGTATTTCTCTAGCTATACTCATATAGATTAAGAGAAATGTTTTTTGTTTTCTTCCAGATACAAATTACACTGCGTGTCGCAGAGTGCCCCAAATTCAAAACATGCCTCGCGAAAATGGCTCCAGCGTCCTCATTTTGCACTATTTTTGAATATTTTTTTTTTAACACTTAACGACATGGTTAATAACATTCTTGAATTTCCATTCATAAAAAAAAAATTACAGAAAAACGCTTTATTTCAGGTTTTTACAGTGGTCTTACCCCTTAAACATTGTCCAGTCTCGGAAACACGAGATACGTACAATAAATTCAGCTCACGATGGAAATCTTTTACGTGTATTTCAATTTTTGAACGCTTCTATTCTCAAAAGTACATTTCTTTCTCCAAGGAGTCCACGAAAACCTCTTAAAAACCTCTGATAAAATATTCCAATATTTTGAAACAACAGGAATAAATTCTACCTCGAAATTGGAAACTTTTGCGATAAAATAACAAATTCGATTGTTCTGAGCTACTTACAGTGCTGAAGTAAATAGAATATATTTTATATATTTCTTAGAACTACTATATATGATGAACACTACTTGTTAGAAATTACACGAAGTATTACAACAGATCGAATTTTTGTCTAATCGCTTGAAATATTAAACGGCGCGAACCCTTGAAATATGTCAGAGTGTCAGTAGAGTGTACAGACAGATAATAGCACAAAAATATAAAGAGTTACTTCAAGATACGTATGTTCAGAGTACAGATCGCTTATCTTGTATTTGCAGAAAGTGGTACCGAAAAGCTATAAAAATATCTATTTTCTCACAGTGGGTGCTATCCTCGTTATAGTATCCGAGTGTGCGAAGCAAGATTTAAATAGTTTACGCCTGAACGAATGAAAGTCCCCGATTTAAATTGAACTTTGCGACTGCTAGAATGTCGTGTCGTCGTTAAATACTTTGTAAATCAATAAAATGTCGACTAGCTTATCATCTGTCCGCTAAAATATTTATTTCGAGTTGCCTCGAATTTGAATGCCGCATATAATACGAATTTGCGTTGTACGAATTCCAGCATATTAATATACTTTCTATCATTACATACTTTCTACTTCAGCATATTATACAGGGTGTTCGACCAACCCTGAGAAAAATTTTAATAGCAGCTTCTAGAGGCCAAAATAAGACGAAAATCAAGAATACCAATTTGCTGATGGAGGCTTCGTTAAAAAGTTGTTAACGTTTAAAGTTGCGCCAGTACTGAATTGTTTTCTAGAAAGTGCGTAGAATTTCGGGGGTAGGTCTATTCACCAAAAATTATTGTAATCGACCCCCACAACCGAAAATAATTTTTCTAGAATGATTTGAAATTTTTTAATTTTGTCGAAAAATTTAATCACCCTTGTCGATTTTTCATAATGATTTGTTTTTCATTTTTAATAAATTTGTTTGACGCTGTACAGAAAAGTTGTTTAATACTTTTTTGTAGGTACCCATGGACTCTGTTTCAGAAAAAAGTTTCATTCCAATATATTCGCTATTATTGGAGTCATGGCTGTTTTGAAAATTGGTCACTATGCGTTTCTGGCCTCACATTAGATTTTCGGTAAAGAATATTATTTCTCGAAAATGCGTAGGATTTCGGGGTATGCCTATTCACCAAAAATGCTTGTAATTAACTCCCGTAACTAAATATAATTTTTTTGCTATGATTTGAAATTTTTTAATTTCGTCTAAAAATTTCAGTACCTACACGAATTTTTTTCTCAAAAGCGGGTAGGATTTCAGGGGTATGTCTATTCACCAAAAATGCTTGTAATTAACTCCGGTAACTAAATATAATTTTTTTGCTATGATTTGAAATTTTTTAATTTCGTCTAAAAATTTCAGTACCTACACGAATTTTTTTCTCAAAAGCGGGTAGGATTTCAGGGGTATGTGTATACACCAAAAATGATTGTAATTGAGTCCCGAAACCAAAAATAATTTTTTCAGAATGATCTGAAATTTTTTAATAATTTCTTAATGAAGCCTCAGTCAAGAAATTGATATTCTTGATTTTCGTCGCACTTTGGTTTCTAGAATCACCCATTAAAATTTTTCCCACGTGTGGCCGAACACCCTGTACACAGCAACTAATATTCGAACGCATTGAATTTGAAATATTCCAATAAATCAAACTTTCGCGGGTTACATGAAATTTTCAACTATTTCAAATTATTACTCGATAAATCGTATTTCATTCTGCAGAGAATTCAAGCATTCGAGAATTTCTACTTCGCTAGCTACATTACGACTCTGTACGTTCTACAGTATAAAGTACTATCAACTTGAACGTTCGTCGTCAGTCGCGACGAATTCTCTGACACATAACAATTTCACGGTAATATTCTCGTGAGATTTCCCCAAAATGAACACGAAGCTCGACACTGGACAAAATGCACGCTCGTAAAAACTAATGCACGTGTAATGCTCGTTACTCGTACGTTTATGGTACGTTGTTAATTTCTGTTCCAATATCCACGTGCGCGTAACCAATCACGCTTAAGGTGGATTTTATGATATAATGTACGTCATTTGTACCGGTTGTCCGACATACGCGTACATCTAAGATAAGTTCACCGAAAACATCTCACAAGCAATTCGAACGAAATAGATAAAAATGGAAATTCTCTGTGCTTCGTCATCGAGCAAACATGCCTTCGTTTCCACGGCACTAATTTCGATATTGAAGCGAAGTTAATATAATACATATAAAATAAATATATAAATCCATTGATCTTGAGATCTATATACATTTATTAAAATATATTAAGAGTCTGATAATATATAATTATTTATGGGTTTATCGAATATAGAATTTATATATTAATATGCAGGATGTTCGGCCAACCCTGGGAAAAATTTTAATGGAGGATTCTAGAGGCAAAAATAAAACGAAACTCAAGAATACCAATTTGTTGATGGAGGCTTTATTAAAAAGTTATTAACGTTTAAGGTTCCGCCCGTATTGAATTTTTTTCTCAAAAATGCGCAAGATTTCGGGGGTACGTCTATTCATCAAAATTGATTGTAATTGAACCCTGTAACCGAAAATAATTTTTCTAAAACGATTTGAAATTTTTTTTTTCCGCCGAAAGATTTCAGCATCTACCCGATTTTTTTTCTCGAAAGTGGATAGGATTTCGGAGGTATATGTAATGACCAAAAATGATTGTAATTGACCCCCGCAACCGAAAATAATTTTTTCAGAACAATTTGAAATTTTTGAGTTTAATTGTTAATAACTTTTTAACGAAGCCTCCATCAACAAATTGGTATTCTTGATTTTCGTCTTATTTTGGCCTCTAAATATATATATTTTATACATACTATAAAGCTTCCCTTGTTTTCGAAAACGGTACTCAATTTAAAACACGAAATAGATAAAAATATAACCTATCTTCTCTAGCGAAACAAAATTATGATGAACGTAGTGCGATATATGTCAACCATTTTGTAACAACTTAAATCCCATCGTAGTGAATATTATTATCGCATTATTAATTCAAGCTACGAAAATAATTCTGATCTCGGAAAACGAGATATTAGAAAATATAAATATTTCGTTAGAAAATATGTAAGACAGCGCGCGAATGTGGTGCGCCGGAAGCTTGCTCGGGAGGTAGTGTGTCACGATGCCAGAGGTCCGTGTACTTACGTACTTGCGTAACGAACGTTTAAAAACTTTGTTATTTACCTTACCGGACACCACGATACCGTTTCCTGTGCAGTTACTACCGAAAACTGCGTTTCTTATACCGCCTGTAGTTAATTCTTCATCGGGGAAGACCACGGGCGTAGTAAATAAAACGTTTCAAGGTGTTTCGATTTAAATCGACGTCAAATAAATAGTCTGTTGCACCAACGACTGCGATATTCGTACTGGTCGCTCGTGACAACAGATATCTGACTGTTCTGCTTGAATCGCGACGATATTTTGTTCGACACGAACAAGAAACGATATAACTGCCACACTACGGCACTGAATATCGTTTACATTTATTCGAATGGATCTATCGCAAATCGTCTTTCCGGCTCTCAGTTTCCGCATCGATATTTTTGGCAGTGAATACTTCGAAGCGCATGCCCTTCACAATGGCAGTTTAAACACGGCGGACACACTCTGAAAAATTAAATTCGACGCTGGTCGATTAACTAAGAACTTTAAGGTGGAGAGCCACGGGAAAAGTCGTAAAGCTCGATCAGACTGGGTGTACAGGTATCTTTTGCGTGCCAGGTATGTAGAAAGGACTACCAATAGCGATCCCGTCGTGTGTCTTTCGGCCAATCGAGAGGTAAGGTTAGTTCTCCCACTCGCAACGGAAAATATTACTCTACGGAAGGTAAGTACGTACGTACGTCTCTACTATTCCAAACTGCAACGAATAATCATAACTACGAAAATGCGTTCAGTTGCCACGGCGTTGCAACGAAACCGTGAAAACATGAAATTGTTATTTAGCAAGGTTAACCGTCTCGTTTCGTACTATTTTCCTCATGGACAAACAAGAGAGGCAAGGTTAACTATCGAACGCATCCGAAGATACGTGATCGCGATCGTGCAACGGAGACAAAGAGACTACGAGTTGTCGACGATTATGACATCATAACCTATCAACGACAATCGTCCCAAAGCGTTCGTGGCTCGTAGCTTATTTTGTCGTTCCACTGCGTATTCTTTCAAAGTATGGGAAAAGAAAGTTTGTTGCGGTCTGTCCTAACTGTCTGTCACGGCCTAACCCTTCTTTTATTCTCATGTTCTCTGTTCGAACCGTAACGATCTTTCTTTTATGAACGACTACGTCACCGAGTACCCAGCGAAAATACAACCGGCGGAATTCAACTATCGCAAAATAGAAAATAAAATCATGTACTTTTGACGGACTTACCGGTTTCCAGTCGATCGTCACATTTCCAGGTTGCCCCAAGTTATCAGCCGGTCAAGGCACGTTGTCGTCCTGGCACTGACGATCTCTTTCACGAAACATTTACAAGGGGCACAAGCACCGAGAAATTAAACGATCACACCATGGCGCGCAGCAGCAGCAGCCTGTAGGCCATCTTGAAGCCACCGACGAGGCACGCACACAGTAAACCCCGTGGAAGCAGGCACACACGGCGTTAGGTCCTCCCAGCAGGACGGAAGACGATCAAGTGAATGCTTTGCCAAGTGGCGGCCATGATGGCGCCACTAGTCGGAGCTTTCAAAGTCGAACGAAATTCGTTCAACGCCCGGATTTGATCGCGTCGCATTGAATCCGATACCAGTTATACATGAGATATTCTTTGTATACATTTGTCCAGATTATAATTCAATTTTCGCGACAAAATTATAGATAGTTTCCAAGAAGATCTTCGAGTACAATTAAATTGATACTTTATCGCGCGGTTGTAGCGATGGCGCCACCAACCGGTCGCGTGGGCTACAATTCAGATAACAATTATATTTTTTTCCGTAATATATAATTAAACTTTAAAGATCAGAGACAAACAGTCCTATGGATTTACGAATAAATATTGCAAGACGCTTCCTCGTATCCGATATCGTTATTCCTGAAATAAACTGTTAAATCGTTTCCTTTACCTGTTCTAACAATTATGGCGGTAATACGAAGCGAATTGTATTTGGTATTGTAAAAGTTGACGATAAATTCTCGTGAAATGAGTCACGGGTTTCCGATATCTTCGCAGCAGATTAAACTAAAAGTTGTCGGTTCGGTATCAAACTTGTGCTTTGCCTTCGAAATGGACAACGAGTTAATTTTCGCGAAGAAATCGTAAGTTTCGCGCGATACAGATATTGATAGTAGAATGAAAGTTATTATATTCAAAGAGAAAGCTTCATCGGTATGTTGACGCGTTTCAAAGCGTTATCACGAATTAAACTTGTATAGTACGAATGCCCTGAAAGAATATTATTGATTATAATATGTTAACGAATCGCTTAGACATAAATAAATACATTTGTATACGATTTTCTCTCAGAGCATCCGTCGAATTCGTAACTTTCTTAAATAGATTTTATTCGAGCACTAAACAGTGATATCTACACTCTACAACAAACATTTTCGTCTGTTCTCGTCATTAATAGTATTCGCACGCTTTTATTGTTATTTAACGACCGCCGCCATTGAAAACTCCATACAAATAATAATAGTCGTTATTGCTTGCCAATTGAACGGCGTCATTGTATAATTCTTACGACGTTCCAACGAGGCCAGCCGAAGGACGATGATTGCAGGAGCAAGTTTCAATAAATTAAATCGATTATTAATACGCAGGAATCTCGTCCTTCGTTAGGTCCTCGATTATTCTCACGAAAAAGACGGATAAATCCTCGGCACATCGTAGTAAACTCTTAATAAACGTATTATGTATATAAATAAGTTATACAATCGATGACTCAATTCGAATTATTAAATATATATATATATATATCTATATGTATATTATGTATATGAATATTTAAAATCTGTATGACTAGAATATATTTATAATATCTCGACATGTATCACATGCTATATTGACTATCGCGTTACCGGACGGGATTTGGAAATTGTATTCCTCATCCTTTTACATTATTTCTCTCTCTGGCAGTTCGTGTTTATTCTTTATTAAGGAAAACATTATTTTATTAAACTTGTCCGCAGTGATCGCCTTTCCCGTCAGGAATTAACATCCGACCACCAGAGACAAAAATATGCTGTCGCTTATTGCTGTGTTAGTAATTGTTGACCATGAGTTCATTACTTTTCTTCTTCATTAATTGCTAATACTTTCATAAACTTTCATCTTAGGAGCGTCAACCGTAATGTTGACTTAATATTTATCGAACTCGTAACAGCATGTCAGAAGACGTCGCCGTTGAAGTAATACTTCGCAAATACTTTCGTGGTTCATTAATGAGTAGAGTTCGGAACTTACAGGCTAACATTGTCGTACTAGTCTAGCGACTTACTTTAAATCGATCGTCAGATCTTGGAAGATTAAACGTGTCCCATTATACCCAAGTACTCTCTGTGAAAAACTTGTCGATGTTCGAAGTAACACTTTTTACCATTCTCTATATATTATATACTATAAAGGGTATTTCGCTAGAATCAGGTTATCTTAATTTTCTCGCTATTTTAAAACATAGGAAGAACTATTATTCGCCAAAATTACACTATAACTTCGAGGGGAGCGTAACGTATAGTGGCGATGAATTTATTTCGTTTTTTATTTCAATAGAAGTATCTAATTGTTATGGCAAAATTTGGTAAAGTGAAAAAGAATTAATTGTTAGGATACGTTATAACAATAGCTAATTTATTACAGGTGAGGGATAATCATTTAACCCAAACCTAACACTAACAATCGATAATTCAGAACTTTTTACGTTCTTATAGTCAGTCCACGATTTACTAACAATAAAAGAATAAAAATTGATAAATACTGCTAATAAGATACAAATTAGAGTCGTAAGGGGTTAAAGCAAGATCTGCCTGATGAGCCTTACTATTTAACAAACTATTTTGCAGATCCAAAATGAAAAGTAGTAATATTGCTCTTTGTACCAAAAATATTGTTATACGAAAGACAATTTTTCTTTAATATATTAAACGTTTTAAAGGGGTCGAGGAAACTTATAACAGATAAGTGGCCTGTGCTTTTCTTACTTTTGCCTGTACACTTAGCACAAAAAGACTTGTTCATACCACCACAAATACATTTATGTATTTGTTGACATTTAAGCAAACAATAAGCGACGTTCCAATGCTGCTTTAGAAACTGAACATTCAACTTTAAACCATCAAATTTACTTTCAATCGTCATCTGCATAAAACCTATTGCCATCCTATCCTCTTCGATACCATACGAATATTGCAAGCCAAGCTCCTTCTTATCGTTTAAAATAGCGAAGATATTAAGGTGACCTACTTCTAAGGAGACACCCTGTATAGTAAGAAATCCTTAGATACGCTTGATGCCTCTAGTATAGTCCGCTCAAGACCACTGTTCCCGTCGCATCGTTTGGCTGCCCCCTCGTTCCATTTCTTTTCGTCTGTTGCCTCTACGTCCCGAACAGAGAAAAAGGCTGACGCGGCATAAAAGTAGAAATCATATACGACGTAATATGAAAATTATAGGAAGTGGCCTTGAACGGGAAACTTTGATTCTCCGTTCGATCTTACGCCTCGATCGAGTCTTTAATTCGACTCCCCACTGGTTACAGCGCCGTCAGTCGGGGGTCCGCCGGCGGTGACACCCTGCGGATCCTGGACGCCTTGGAACAGTTTGCCTGGGAATCCGTGCAGGAGATCGTAGGAAACAGGTGTAGGCGGCAAAGCGGTGGTGTGAGCGTGTGGTGACTGGAGAACCGCTATCACTCTTCTCAGTTCCTCCAAAGCGTTTCCTGCGCGAGGCGTGCAATTTGCGAGGGTATAATCGGGCACGAGAACAGGCGAAATGAAGCAACATCAAAGGGATCGGGGGTACCTTATACTTTTCAAGGGCGGATGTCGCGTTTTGTGCGTTACCTTGCATGAGAATGTAGTTCTTCGCCAGCAGTAGCGTGGCGATCTTGGACAACTTTCTCACGGACGGACTGTGGGCATAAGGGATAACAGATCGAAGCTCGTCGAGAGCGTCGTTCAAATCGTGCATCCTTCTACGTTCCCTCGCGTTGATGTTCAGCCGCATGCTCTTACCCTGGCGCGTGCTCTTCGATTTTGGCGGGCAGTTCAATCTCGATGCCCCGGGTCTGCGAAGACGACGAACGTTCCCCGTTAATTTTACAAACGATTCCAAACAGTACGCTCGAGGGGTTCGTTAACCGATACCTTTCGTGGCCCGGTCTGTTCTCGTCGGACAATGCGTTCGAAGAGGCGTGCGGTTGCGGTTGCTGCTGAAAATAGAATCCACCGAGACCAACGGTACCCAGGGGAGTCCTTCTTCCGGGCGCGCTCTGAGGGTGCTCCGACGAGTAGCCAGCTGGAGGAGCGGAAACGCTAGGGTGAGACGCTCCGGGCACCGAGTACATGGATTCCAGTGACGCTGTGGATTGCGGCGGTAGTGGATGCTAAGGACACGTGATGTGGTTAATAATCGAGTTATAAACTATTTATAAATCTACCATCAACTTCTGCAACACGTCTTTGTTACGTATTGAGAAAGTTAGATCAAATGGTTTCTGATAACGGTAATTTTATCTTATAATTGTTTACCAACTTAATTTCCCCCGATGGTTAGTCACGTGGCATAGTCATAAACCATTTCGAACACCCTTTAAAGCAACCGTATTACGCAACCCACCATAATAACAATCGTGTTCTTCGTCAATTATAGAGATGTAATTATTGTACAGTCTCTAAATATAAATACTCACGGTGGTACGGTGCTCCCAGGCCCATGTGGGATGCGAAGCAGAGCGCTGCCAGGATCCTTGCTGCAGATGCGCCTCGGGGAGTCCCTCTCTTCTGTCGTCGTCTTCCGTCGAGCTACTCTCGCCGTCGTAGGACCTCATTTCTCGAAGGATTCCCGTGCGCGAATCTCGTAACTGTTTCTCCCTTAGTGTCTAGCAACCGGGCCCTTTCGGCAGAGGTGCCTCCCATGAGCATGGAAACGACGCGCATTCGGTTATCATCGTTCACGCGTGACGAGCGCGTACAGAACGAGCGGCATCATCGACGAGCATAATCAATAGTAACCGCAACACTTACCGACAAATTTCTTTCGTCCGCCGGTCATGCACGGCGCAGGATCCCCTCCGAGCGCACCGAGGATCAGCAATATTTTTTGCGCACCACCGCGTGACGGGTCATCCCTCCTCCCCCGCAGGCGTAACCGACGACCGTGCGATCAGTCAGTATCCCTGCGTATTTCTATTTTTTTTTCCTTTTTTTTTTCTTTTCGATCAATTCGTTTCATCCATCAATCGCGTTCGATGGTAAATAAATCACTGTTTACGACCACGGACGACGCCGATCACAGCCATGTTCCATTTCCAAGCGAACGACGTCGCGGTTCCGGGTCTGCTCGAACATCCGGTGTCCTCGGTGTCCTCGATTCGAGTTATTCGATCGGCTCGTTTTTTCCGCCGACCATCGTACGTCAGCGTTTCTTTTTTCTTCGTCACTGGACTCGGTGCATTTCTGCTTAATAAAATTATCGCGCACGTACACGGGACACCGTCGCGCGGAACACGCACGCGTCTGTTGTTCGCGGACGCCCTGCGCAGAGGGTGCATCGCCTCGCAACCCCAAGCGTAGTTCCAGCCCTCGCCGACAGGACGAGTCAGCGTCGAACGAGGGATGCTGCCCTGGACCAACGACTGGCGAACTCTGGCGAACGTCCGGTCAAGTTCCAGGAGATGGAGCATCTGTTTCTTACCATCTGGATAGGTCGATGCCCAGATGGAAGGGGCCCTGTTCTTCGAGGGGGGCCAAGTACTGGATTTTTGCCCTTTCGCGACTCGGATGCTCCCCCATTTTTTTCTACCGGACGGCTTCAATTTCGTGGCATCGACTGCCGCTGAACAATGTTCCCCGGCCTTTCGTTGATATCGCACGCATTGTCTTCGCGAATGCGGGCTCCACGAGAACACGGTTTACGCCCAAAATGTTTCGAACAGCAACCAGCGTGAAAATCTCCTTTTTGTAAATCGTTTGCCCGAAAGTTGTAATATTATTCGCATCGTATCGTCTCCAAAGTTTTTGAGAATGCTAGCAATTATATTCTCTCGAATATCAAGATGACTTTTCGGTGCACAGACACAGAAATCTGCGGAACGATAGGAGTTGAATTTCGAAAACGAAAGATTTTTCTTTTCTCGATAGAACGCTGCATTCATAGTAGTGGAACATATTCGCAACGCACAACAACAATATAGTAAAACAACGATAAGCATTGTGTTGACGTTTGATTGACTCATGCGTGCTTTCTTCGGTTCGCCTGCTGGTTTTTCCGCTAGCCTCTAAAATTTACGAAACGTAACATACGCTTTCTTTTCAGGCAATAATTCGATCGATGAATTAATATTTAGAAAATACTTGTACCGTCATAGCGACATCGTGAATTTGGCTGACTTTGATCGGTCTGACGTCAGACCTCTTAGACAGCTCAGAAGCAACTCCAATCGTTGGTTAACAATCAATAACTGCAGGGCTCCTTGACAGATACATCGGGTGATACACAATTAACAATGTCATACAACATCTATACAACTATGCAACTTCAGTAACGTTCCACAGTGGTGAATACAGCAATCAAGCTAATTTAAATTTAATACACAATACTTGTTTCGTTTCTGATATTTCGGTAATTCTATATACCGATGATCCCTTATTTCGAGTGATATAATTAACGTTTCGCGTACGATATTACCGACTCGAAGCAGTTTCGTAATATTCCATGAATCATTTTAGTCCTTTTGATAAGTGCAACGTCAATAAGATTAATTAAATACTGCTCGTATTAATTAGGGGTTCGTGTTTCCGAGAATTCGAGGGAATGAATAGAGACGAAAGATGAAACTGCAACCTGAATACAGTGATATTTGTCCTGAATGCTCAATTTATGTACCACGTTGGAGTTTCTGAAGTATTGAATAGCTCATAAAGTCATTGAACAAGCGATATTTAGCGGCTGACCTTTAAACTCTTGAAGAGTACTGTCAAACACGTGTACGTTCAGCTTTTTAATTTATTTTAATTTATACTTTAAATTTAAGATGATAATATACCTTTTTATTCGATTATTAATTTATTATTAGTATTATCAAAGCTTCATCCTTTGCGGCATTTTCTAACAAGTCAAACTAAAAAAAACAATATCGTAACCATTTTAGTCTGATTCGCTTCAAAAACAATGTAAATGTTTCAGGAATACATGTAAATACATATGAATATATATGTTCTCTACTCTTTAATTTTTGAGTTACAAACGATTACAAAAAATTAATATATTCTGTGAATGATACAAAATAGATTTGAGACTATTCGAGGAACGCCCTTGCTATTTTCCAGCAAATGTAAAATTCGATGTCGAATGACTCGACGAGCAAAGCACGCAGGACATTGTTTAATTATCCCAGCCTAAAGGGTCTAACGACAGTATAAAATAAGGAATGTAACACGAGTTTCTCATATTCCCAGCCTCGATTCATCCTCGAACGTTCCAGACGCCCCCGTATAATTTTACGCGACAACTTTCAGCCTTATATTCCTCTCGCGAAGCTTCGTATTCCTTAAAAAATCTAAATATACACGGTACGCTGGAAATTTCAACCCCCAAAGTTGCGTGAGCGTTCCACGTGCTCCTCGCATAACCGCGCCAGTCAACTTTCCGTCGTTTCATTCTTCCCGTGACGCTCTGCATTTTCCTGTAGCGCGTTGTGCTCGATCCCCCGGCGAGTCTATGAAAGTCGCGAAGGAAATTCGAAAGGCGCGAGTATTCTTCGCGCTCGTCGGACCGATGGTTTTTCGCGGTTTCGAGAACAGGGGAGAGAAACGTTGGGAAAGAGGTGGCCAGAAGAGGGGACAAAAGAGGAGCAGAAAATTTCATAAATGGTCGAGCGCGAGGCCACGGTCCCGTGTTACGTTGCGGATCAATTTTTGCGAACGGCGAACAGAGCCTCGCGATGGAGTACGAAATAACGACGGATCGACGGCTGACACGTTCCGGGCGTGCGTTATACCTGACCGTGGGCATAATAACGCCGAAATCAAAACCGACTCGACGCACACACGTCGGGCCATATTGTTCGCTGCATCTGTCGTGTGCACGAAGCAGGGGGTTGTCATTCCCAACGAACACGTTCGACGAAAACTCTGTATCGCTCGGGCGTTCGAGCCGCCTTTAACGGCGAAAAAGAGGGTAGGGGCGAGCCACAGGAGAGGGAGGGGGCGGGAGGGGGGGGGGGGAAGAGAGAGAGAGAAGAACGAACAATGGGAAATTTTTCGCAGCAGTGAAAATATTTTTTCGCGTTTTCGGTTTTAATTAATGCCCCGGGAAACGAGCCGCGTCCGTGGAATCGGCGCAAATGGGGAAGATTTTCGCCGTATTTCGCGTGTTACGCGCGTCGAGCTTTTTCTCGCATTAGAAATAACATTGGAAATCGATGAACCTTGCCCGTTTTCCATTTTTTAAAAACTTCCTTTTTTTTCACGTACATGAACGTATTTAGCCTTTGACATCGCGAACACGCGACAGGAAGAAATAATAAATTTTATTTTTTATTCGAACCTGCACTTAGTGATTTGTGATTCTTTTAGGGGAAAATTTTTCAATTTTTCTTCCAACAATGCGTTTCCTAGATAGAATTAAAAGAGATTTGTGAATAAACGCCTTGTTTCAGAGTTGGAATTTTATATCAATCGATTTTTAGGGAACTCTAAAACGATAAGTTTAGGCGAGTATTTTAGAGTAATTTTAGTACTTAAAAACGCATATATTGAAACACGGGAAAATACCAAGGGACATAGAATATAATTTGCATTCTATTAGAACAAAATTTCTTTCTCTCACGACTACTGAACCAAGTTACCACAGTTTGGAGGATAATGTACACCCCGTATACGAGTGTCACAACAAGAAATATTTTGTTACACAAGCCCATTCTGAATTTCAAACTGTCGAGTCTATTCTACGACGTCACACTTGGCTCGGAACCATATGCGATACAGATTCATGAGACGGAGAAACTTTTTGCGCGAATGGGATCTATACAGGGTGGGGCGATAACTGTGTCCACCTTGAATATCTCCGTTATTTGTAATAATATGAAAAAATGTTATATAAAAAACTTGCACGGTACAGAGGGGGACAAATTGTGACACAAATATTTTTCGTGTGAGTGGAGGCATAAAGAAGATTTCAAGGTCATCTTCATTTTTTTAAATGGTATGCTATATTTTTTTTATTCAAGCTATTCTTGGAGGTCATGCAAGGTCAAATGTGGTAGTAAAATAAACTTTCTTGCATTACAGAGGATGTTCGAAATGGTGTCCGTTTGCGTCAATGCAAAGTTGCAGTCTTCGTATCGCTGCGTCACGTGCCTGTTTTATCTCTGAACTTATTTTAGCACATGCTGTACTTTATAGATCCTTACTTTCATGTAAACGAATGGTCTTGTAACATTGTTTATGTTGTGGCAATACATCGCGTGTAGCTAGAAATGTAAACATTACGGCAGTTCGTAACGTTGACATGAACAGTGTGATTATCAAAATGAAGTTTTCTTTTGAAGAGCAAGTGGATATAATCCTCATTTATGGAGAAAACAAAATTCGATAAGAGCTGCATCCTTGTATGCTGAACGATATCCAAACCGTATACATCCTTCTTACCGAATATTTCAAGGATTGTGTAAAAAATTAAAGGGAACCGGAAGTTTGGGGACCCGTAAGAGCAGTCGTCGTTTACATGGTCGTTGTCGTCGTAGTTTTGTATATAACATTTTCTCATATTATTACAAATAACGGAGATATTCAAGGTGGGCATAGTTATCGCCCCATCCTGTATAAATCTGCAAATATTTGAAGCTTCCGCTTGAACAACATTCTTGAAACCCCATGTTTCATTGCAGAAATATAAATGTTTGTTATAAAACGATTACGATTTGGTATAAAAAATTATTAAAAAATTTCCTCCGTATTCAAACATCGATTGAAGTTTTCTCTGCTGTAATTCATAGTTTTGCATTCTACAAATATTTCTCACGAAACAATCATAATTTACAACCGAAAGTATTTATAAAATATCAAATGTATACATTTAGTTTGTGGATTAAATCAAATAAGTCCGGAAAAATTCTCTTCAATTTTATAATTGTCAAGGACCGAATTCGTAACGAATTATAATTTCACCTTGATTTAGTACGCGATGTTCGCAACGAACACCAAATTGAAATTGTTCTTCGTGTAATTGGTTTATCGCGTCACTTTTCAAACTGTAATATGTTCGTAGGATTCCGAACAGCGGAGATATCCCTCGTGTCTGAATCATACGACGAATCCCATCCCTTCTAGCAGGAATAGTGGTAGCGGTAGGGGAGTAGCTTTACTTCTGCCCGAAGTGTTTACTGTACGCAATCCGGCATAATGTTGCAGTTTCTCAGCCCCCACTGTTCCGAAGGTGGCCGAATCTTTGGCACAGAAACGA